TGAATGAGATGCCATCTCCAGGCCTAGGAGCATGTCTCAGTTGGCTGCTCTCACCAGCCCAGGAGCCTCTGACTCATCTGTGGTCAGGACCCAAGGAAAGGGAAGGGAACAGAGACTGAAATCTTGCAAAAGCAGCAAACATGACTCCTCTGCCTGTGATTTTGTTCCTTCTATAGCCCATCCCTGTCTGTATATCACTCTTTCAGTACGAAGCCAGAGGGACACATCACACAGACAGACACACAGAAAAGGAGACACAGAGATGCCCACAGAGGGAGATCCGCAGAGACACCGAGGTGGCCTTAGGACAGAGAGGCTGCCCAGTGCCTCACCCCCGTCCCCAGGCAGTGGCAGTCCACGGAGCAGACACGTGAGGGCCGTGGCCCAGCGCTGGGCCTCAGCGCGGTTCTCCTCGTAGGTGGCTGCCCCGTCGGCCCGGAAGGTGCGTGCAGCTCTGCGCCGGCCCCCACGCCGGCCCCTGGGGTAGGTGTAGACGCAGAAGTAGGCTGCTGAGTCCAGGGGGCTTCGGCTCCGCAGGGTGCAGCAGCCTGAGACCTCGGTCAGCAGGACTAGGCCACCCCGGGGCCGGGCCTCGGGCTTTGGGCGCAACCGCTGTATGTGGAGGGCTTGTGGTGTGAGAGTGAGGGCGAAGCGTGGGCCGCGGGCTGGGTAGGAGCCAAACTCGCCATGCAGGAGTGGGGTGCTGGGGGTCAGTGGCGGTGGGGGGGCCATGGCCTTGACCCTGTCCAGGGCGCTTCTAGGCCGGTAGCCCCAGCTCCAGGTCAGCTCCTGCTCTGGCCTCTGTGGGGGAGGAAGGAGGGCAGGAGTCAGAGTCCAGGAGCCCCATGGTGGGCAGAGGGGAGCACGGGCAGGGCCTGTGGACAGGAGGAAACAGCAAGGCGAGGGGTGCCAACAGGCGAGATGGAAGCACCAGAGGGAGACAGGCCCAGACACAGTGTGGGAAGACCCTGAGGACACAGGGCAGAGGTCAGGTGGACAAGAAGGCCAGCATCCTGGAGGGTCCACACCCAGGCATGCAAAGATTCATTCCTTTATTCCCCCAATAATTATTCAATACTATGTGCCAATGGGGCTTCCCTGGTGGCTCAGTGGTAAAGGGTCCGCCTGTCATACAGGAGATGCAAGGGCTGTGGGTTCGATTCCTGGATTGGGAAGATCCCCTGAGTAGGAAATGGCAACCCACTCCAGTATTCTTGCCTGGAAAATTCCACAGAGAAGCCTAGCAGGCTACAGTCCATGGGGTCACAGAGAGTCAGACACGACTGAGCTACTGAGCAAACATACACATGCACACACTCAGACACAGAGAAAAAGGTCTGAGACCAGAGAAACACTGAGAGGACACAAACAGCTTCAGTGAGATCAAACCTAATACAATGAAAGATATTTAGATAGCAAGGAAGAGTGTAGGGGCTCCAGGGGTGCACCAAGAATCAGAAAGACACAGAAGAGGCAGGAGATAGGGGATGCAGTATCTGGAAAGACTGAGAAAGGGGTGTGACATGGAGGGATTAAGGGGTTGGATAGGGAGAGCCACATGTGGGAACCTGCAAGGGACAGAGGCCAAGAGGTGAACCTCAAGCACTGACCTGGGTATCTGGCCGCCTGCTCTCCAGGGAGAGGCTGGGAGCTGGGCCTGAGATCCCCTCCCCCTGCCCTCTGCCCAGTTTCTGCCTCCTCCTTCCTGCTCACCTTTGTTCCCCCTGCCCCGCCCACCCGGTCACCTATCAGTTCTGCCCCTCACCTACCCCAGGCCCAGAACTGCGCCAGAAACACCCCCATCTGTGGACTCACTCTTAGGAGCGACCTCTGTCTCCTACCCAGGGGGGTTCTTCAAGGTTCACCCATAAACTTGCACTGACCGCGCCCCCCTCCCCTTACCTTAAATCCGCTTGCATGGAGCCCTAGATCTCCCCCAGTCCTTGGCCTGCGATTCTATCCCTAGGTCCCCAGGCTGCTGGCCTGGTCTTCATCCACAGGTTCCCCCCAATAAATAAGCCTAAGTCTCTGTCTCTGGTTCCCCGGGTTCCAGGCCTTCATCCCCACCCCATTTCCAGAACCTGGTTCCAGACCTGAGTTTTCATTCCTGGATCTCTCAGTCCTGGTTCTGGTTCTCCATCTCCACCCCACACCACTAGTACCCCAGTCTCGGGCCTACGTATACGTTCCTCTTGGTCCCTGAGTCCTCCTGACTTGGGTCCATGTCCCGGCCCCGGGCCCTCCTCACACGCCGGGTCCTCCTTCACACAGCTCCTCTAGTCATCATCAACTGTCCGCACCAGACCTAGGGGTGGGGGGGGAGGGTGTGCATCCGTTCAGCCAATGGCCGCGCGGCCGGCCTGAATTGCACCAATGAGAGCGTGTGGGGGCGTGACCAGTCGACTCGCGAGCTTTGCTCAGGGACCTGCCGTGCGGAAGCGCTGGAGAACTAGGCGGGGTATCGCCTTTCGCGAGATCAGCCGCCATTATAGGTGAGGGCACAGGCGCAGCAGAGGCGGCTACACGGTCCTATGGCCACCGCCCCTGTCGCCATCTTTACTGAGGGCACGTGGGCCTGTCCCATCCTTTGAGTTTATAAAAGAGAAGGGGGCGTGGGGGAGGAGGTCTTTAACTGCAGATAGAGAATGATCTTAACACATCTAACAAAGAGCAGAGTTATGCAAAAACAGTGAAAGAGAAGCAGAGGCAGAGGCAGTAATACACTTAGACATAAAGCAGAAAACAGATAAACAAACAAAGACAACAGAATTAAGAATGTGCAAGGTAAGGACATAAGAAAACCCAGAATATGATGGACACATAGAGAGATGGGGACAGCCACTTTTGGAATGAAAACCAGGAAGGAGAGGCTCATTAATTCACAAACTGTTTACCTTGGGCAAAAACTGGAATGGGGACATCATGGCATAAATATTTGCCCAGTGAAACGGCAAGACAGAAACAGAGGAAAGAATGGGAGAGACAGTATCTGAGAGATATATCTCTCGGTCAAGGGTGAGGAACAGAGAGAATGTTGGAGGCTGAGAGGAACTGAGACCAAGAGACAGAAACCAAAGATGATGACAAAGAGACATAGAGAGGCAAAGACACAGGGAAACAGAAAGAAATAAGGCAATAATAATATCAGGTGACCTAAAAACAGAATTGTAGAAAGAAAGACACATGCTGAAGGAGATAGGGACTGAGCTTGCTGCTGCTACTAAGTCACTTCAGTCGTGTCTGACTCTTGTACCACAAAGAGATAAATGGAGGATGAAGCTCATTTATTGCAAAACAGTGTACCTAGTGTTCAACTGAGAATAGCAACAGCACCAGATAACATGTGCCAAAGAATGACCCTGAGAGAGAGACAGACACCCAGTAAGATGGAGAGACCGAGAAACACAGTGTGTGCTTAGAGCTCCAGGGAAAAGAGAGATACAGTGATCAAAGAGACTGAGACTCAAAGACCAAGACACAGGGACAAGGAGGAGAAGAAAACTGTCCCATGGTATGGTTATCTTCACTTTCACATAGATCCTTACCTGATCCTGCCGCTCCTCTGCTTCAAGGTGTCCATTCACCTGCTGGTCCTCCGCTGTTAGCACATCAGCCAGACACTGGGCCTGGTTCGGAGGCCATGGGTGGGTGGTATGGGCAAGGAGTCAGGGCTCATGGTGTAGGTTTGGTCTGTGGCTCTGTGAAGAGGTAAGTAGGAGCCTGAAGGACAGAGTATAGGAATACTGCGGGTCCTAGAGGCAGAGATTCCACAAGGAAGACGCTTTATCACTGCCCCAACCAGTCCATCTGGTCCCATCCAGTAAAGTCAGTAACAAGAATAGATACTCATTTTTAGCAAGCACTTATTATGAACCAAACATAGTCCTGAGCTTTAAACTAATTTTTAAGCTAAATGCTCCAAAACACTCTATGTGCCAGTTCTACCATCATCACCCTTTTCCAGATAAAAAAGTAAGGCACGGAGAAGTTACACGACTTGCCCAAGGTCACGCCATTAGTAAGTATTAACAGCAAAGCCACGAACTGAATTAGCTTACAAACGATATCACCATCTTTCTACGTCTCTGCTCTCTTTGGATCTCCACCTTTCCTCTTTCTAGGTCTTCTCACTCTCCCGCGTCACCAATTCATCACCCTCGCTTTCTGTCCACTCCCCTTCTCAGTCTCCATTCCTCCTCCTCTCGGAATCTCTGTCTCCCTCTAAGGCTCCCCTCCCTCTCTTTCAGGAGTTTTTGGTTTTTTTTTTAACCCATCCCCTCTCTACACCCCATCCCCAAAGCCCGGGGAGGGGGGCCTCAGCTTGCCTCCTCTACGCTCCAGTACCGTGCACATCCCTCAAACTGAAACACGCTGGACCACCTGAATCTTTCTCGCTGGGAAAAGCAGCCTCCCGATGGCAGGGGCGAGTAGGGTTCAGGGAAGGGCCATCTGAGGGCAGAGGGAGAAGGTGAACCTAAAAACTGGAAATACAGGGTGCCACAAACGAGGCTGCAGCAAGATGATCTCGGGTTACATCTCAAGTAAGACTTCCTGAGCTGCAGCCGCACCTGAGAGGCGCAGCAAGCAATAAGACAGAGGAGAGCCTCCTGAGGAAACGCCCAAAGCTTGAGGTCAGAGGTTTCCTTGAGGTCCAGACTAGCCAGACAGCCCCGCCTCCTCACCTCTAATACTCGGTTCTCTGGGTCCTCCGGGAGCCACAGAGAGGCCGTCGGCGTCGGGCCAGAGCGTCACCGCGCGACACCTCTTACTAGCTCCGCGCGACATCTCTCACGCTCCGAGAGCCTTTTCTTCCGGAAGACTATCAAGAACAGGGCGTGGATAGGGCTAGAGAGGCCCCCGACGTGCGGGTCCTTCCGTCCTTGGCGCAGCCCTTGTTCCCCTTTAGATGTTTCCTCCACTCAGTTCCGGAAACGCCCACCTAGCTGGCCTTCTGGTTCACCATAGAGAAGCGTGAGTCATAGTAGAGCGCCGCGTCGCCCAAGTGATGTCAAGTAGGCGCCACACGCTGAAGGCTTTCCCCGCCCATCCGGCGTCTGCTCTCTCTTTCCGGACCTGGCTAAGGAGGAGGCGCCATCATGGTGAGCTAGCTTTGCGGCGTCCTGGGCTCGACCATCCGCTGCCATCCACTGCGGCCCCGGGCTGGGGATATTCCAAAGGGAGGCAGGGGTTCAGGGGTGTTCGAAGGAGGCGACTCCCACGGTGGGGAGCTGTTTTGGAAGCCCGAAGGCCAGGGGTGGGCTTCTTCAGTCTCCCATCCTTCCTGTACTTCTCTCTTACATAGGTCCCATCGTAGATGACCAGACTGAGGGGCAAGAAGGTTAAGTAGTATGACCAGGGTTACAGTGCCAGTAAGTGGCGGAGCCAGGATTCGGATCCAGAAGCTGGTTCCACAGCCACTCTTGCGTGTGCTGCCTGTGTATTCTGTCACTCCCCAGCCTGGAAAGTTGGGTGCTGGGGGGCCGGGGGGGGAATCATCAAGTGGCTGGTGCCCGTGTTTGGGAGCCAGGCGGGCTTCCGTTCGAGATTCAATTCCCTAGCCACTGCATTCCCTGTGACCGGAAAGCATCTGTTCGTTGGAGACCCAGTAATTTTGTTTCAGAGATGTGAGTTCGGTAAGAAGTGCTCACAGAAAGTGCTCACCAAGGATCTTTGCATACCTAAATGCTGGATAAATGAGAGTTATTGACAAGTAGTTCTTTACAGTTCATGACATAGTCTAAGAAATTTGCAGGAAAGCAGGCAGAGGGTGTGATGGAAGCTGTGGGCTTCCTTCAGCTTTCTTAGCACTAGCGTGGGAAACTACCTGGTCAGGTTTTTGGAGTCAAGGAGATAATGCTTGAAAAGTCATTTTAAGGTTGGTTCTGTACAGAGTACTTGGAAAAAAATGCTCATTGCCTTTATGATAATAAAGTCAGTTCTTGGTTTAAGTGTTTCTGATAATGCTCCACGTGTTGGAACAAGTGTTGAGAGGTTAAATGATACTTACATTTTTGAAAAACATAGCTGCTAAAGAACTAAAAATTTGAGTTAATAGGGGTGCCATTAAGGTCATTGTGCTCTGAGCTGACAGCTTACTGTGTAAAATTAGCACTCTTCCTCCCCCCCCCCCTTTTAAAAAAAAAAAAAAAAAAGAGTGACTTGAGGCCCAGGGAGTTTTCAGTGATTTTCCGATTGTTCTCAGTGTGGGTCTGGGATTGGTTATCTCCAGAGACTGCGCGTTTAGCTGTTTCTCAGAGGTAAGGAATAATTGAAAATGTTTATGTGAAATCTGCCAAATGAGAGTTGGGTTCATGGTCTTCCCTTCCTTCACCCCTGCAGGGAGTTGACATCCGCCACAACAAGGACCGAAAGGTTCGACGCAAGGAGCCTAAGAGCCAGGACATTTACCTGAGGCTGTTGGTCAAGGTGAGGTTGGGGCCAGAGACCCCTCTTCAAGGACACCCCAGAAACAGAACTTCAGAGCCTCCATGCTGGTTTCAGTCACACGCTCCCTGCGGGGGCCTGAAGCACAGGCACGGATCTGCTGCTTTTCCAGAGCTGCTGGAGATGCCAGTGTTCTCAGTCTCTGGGCCTGTTCACAGCTCGGGGGGGGGTGGGGGTGGGGAGTTTCTGGGTCCCTGGCCAGGCGGGACTCTCTCCCTAGGACTCTATGGGATGGGGGAAAGCCCTCAGTCATCTCTTTGCCCCTTTGTTAGAAAGCTGGGGGAGAGGGGATAGGCTGGGCTGCCCTGGGTTCTCACTCTTCATTTTCCTTCCGCTCCAGCTGTACAGGTTCCTGGCCAGACGAACCAACTCCACCTTCAATCAGGTTGTCCTAAAGAGATTGTTCATGAGCCGCACCAACCGGCCACCGCTCTCCCTTTCCCGGATGAAGATGAAACTTCCTGGCCGGGAAGGCAAAACAGCTGTGGTCGTGGGAACGGTAACTGACGATGTTCGTGTCCAGGAGGTGCCCAAGCTGAAGGTGCGTGGGGAGGTGTGACTCAGGAGCACGGTGTGTGGGTCACACTGAGGTCCTTGTCCTGCTGTGGTGCCGTCAGGCTCGTCTCGCCTCTGGGTGAAGCAGGCATCAAGCCTGAATTGCAGGGGGGTGATGTTGATGGCCGGCATCCCTGGGCAAACCCTTTCTGGGGCCCTGCTGATTGTGCTCGCTCTGAGGCAGAATTCACATCTGGCTTTCTCTGCCATTTTATCATCTCTGGACAAAGTGACGCCTCTCTTTGTGTTTCGGTTTTCTTACCTGTGTACTGGCTTTGGTTTGCAGTGTCAAGTGGGTTTCTAGATGTAAACTGGTAAGGGTGGCTGCATTCTTATGGCTCAGACATTTGCCTCCAGTAGTTGGTTACGAGGCAGAATAAGCAGCCAGAACCCCTGCTGGGTCTGGGCAGTGGACTGGAGGCTCCTGGGCCACCATCCGGGGGCTTTGACCACGCCCGTCCTCTGTTCCCTAGGTGTGTGCTCTGCGAGTAAGCAGCCGCGCTCGGAGTCGCATCCTCAAGGCTGGGGGCAAGATCCTCACCTTCGACCAGCTGGCCCTGGACTCCCCCAAGGGCTGCGGCACCNAGGTGTGTGCTCTGCGAGTAAGCAGCCGCGCTCGGAGTCGCATCCTCAAGGCTGGGGGCAAGATCCTCACCTTCGACCAGCTGGCCCTGGACTCCCCCAAGGGCTGCGGCACCGTCCTCCTCTCGGGTGAGTGGTGCTTCGTGGCTCGAGGGGCCGGGCCATGTGGCTCCTGGCAGCCTTTCCCTTTCTGGGTCTGGGAGGTCAGGGACAAGGACAGCCCCCACACACACACACCCCAGCCCGGATCAGCCTGAGCCGCCCCTTCCTCCCCTTCTCTAGGTCCTCGCAAGGGCCGAGAGGTGTACAGGCATTTCGGCAAGGCCCCAGGAACCCCGCATAGCCACACCAAGTGAGTATGCCCTGCACACCAGCCTTGCTGCACTTCAGCTGTTTCTGTCAGCCTAGACTCTCCGCTTTTCCTTCAAGACTGCTTAAAGTTCTGTTCTTCGGGTATTGAGCTCCCTGCCCAGCCAGCATCACTGGTGTGGGTTCTTTGGGGCCTATCCACACCTCAAGTGGGGCAGCTCTGGGCTGCCCTGGTTGACGCCCCCAGGGCCTAGTGCAGAGCCTTCAGCCACTCCTGGCCATCTGGCCTCCTGCGCTGCCAGGCTTCCCCTCTGACCCTGCTTCATTTGAGTGAGGCCCTCTGAGGGTGTCCCCGTGCTGCTGTGTTGGAGCAAACATCTCTTCTGAAGTCCCAGCTGGCTGGCAGTCCCCAACAGCCCCTGACTCACTCTAATGTGGGCCCCTTCTCTCCCCGCAGACCCTACGTCCGCTCCAAGGGCCGGAAGTTCGAGCGCGCCAGAGGCCGACGAGCCAGCCGTGGCTACAAAAACTAACCCGAGAGTCTACCTTGTTATTAAAAAGATTTTGGATGCTAATGGTCTTCTGTATATTATTGGGGAACGGAGTAGGGGGGAGGGAGAGGGTTGGAGCCCTCAAGGAGAACCCCGTCATTTTGAGCAGTGGGTGCCATGCCCCTCTCTTTGCCATGGTTAAAACGTGGCTCAGATGGTAAAGAATCTGCTTACAAAGCAGGAGACCTGGGCTCGATTCCTGGGTCGATAAGATCCCCTGGAGAAGGGAATGGCTACCCACTCCAGTATGCTTGCTTGGGAAATCCCGTGGACACAGGAGCCTGGCAGGCCACAGTCCATGGGGTTGCAGAGTCAGATATGACTGAGAGACTTTCATGGTTTTTCTAGTAGTTATGTATGTGTGTAGAGTTGGACCGTGAAGGCTGAGTGCTGAAGAATAGATGCTTTTGAATTGTGCTGGAGAAGACTCTGAGTCTCTTTGACAGCGAGGAAATCAAACCAGTCACTCATAAAGGAAATCAATCCTGCATATTCATTTTAAGGGCTGATGTTGAAGCTCCAATACTTTGGTCACCTGATGTGAACAGCTGAGTGATTGGAAAAAACCCTTATGCTGGGAAAGATTGAAGGCAGGAAGAGAAGGGGGCGACAGGATGAGATGGTTGGATGGCATCACTGACTCAATGGACATGAGTTTGAACAAACTGGGAGGCAGTGAAGGACAGGGAAGCATGGCATACTGCGGTTCATGGGGTTGTAAGAAGTGGGACATGATTTAGTGACTCAGCGACTACCCCTCTATGCAGACCAGCCTCTGGGATGAGCCCCTTAACGTTGTGCGGTGGGGGGCAGAGTCTGCGGGGGCCTGAGTGTCCGCGGCGCTCACCCTAAGCCTGTTGGTGCCCTTGGACCCTGCTGCACCCTTGGGATCTAGCAGCCAACTAAGGCTGAAGCCCCACCTCTCTCCAGGTGTCTGGTGTTAATGACACCTGCTTCCTTTTTTAACCAACCACGCCTACTCTTAAAGGACCCGTGCTCCCCTCAGGAACTCCACATTAGGGATGGCTGGTGGGGCTTGGACCAGGAAATAGAAATGGGTTGGGACACCGTAGGAGAGAGGGTGCGCGGGAACAGGTGATGTGAGCTCCCGCCCCTGAAACCGGAGTCTGGCGGGCCGCTGGGACCTTCCCTTACTTCGGTCCCACACCCCAGATTTCCAGGGGCCTATGATGGCCCTCCCCCTGTATTTGCACAAGGGGCTGGGTTCCCCGGATCCCAGGAAGAAACCTGATGAATAAGGCAGGCCGGCCGGCCGGAAGAGCCACAGGAATAAAGGAGGTCTCCAGGCCCCTGATCTGACCTCCAGAAAGGCAAGAGGAGAAGGGGATGGAGACCTGGGAGAGATGGGTCTGGGGAGGACTGGAGGGAGAGGGACTGGCTTGGCTTTATTCCTCTTCCTTCTCTTCGCAGGGCTGGTTTGCTGTGGTCTGGCGGAGGGGAGCCGACGGTGCTGGAGAGGGGGTTCTTGTCGACAGGGATTGAGGGTCCACCGAGCCGAGGCTGAGTCAGAATCGTCAAAGGGGCAGCTTGGGAGGGATGCAGAGTGGTCCTCATCCTGGAATAAGTGGACAGTCTGCTGGCCGGAGGCAGTGGGATTAAGGCAGAAATCCTGGCTGGAGTGGGCCCGAGATCACTCAGAGGCCCGGGACACAGGCCGGGTCAGTGGTCTTGGGAACCGGGGTTAGTTGATCCGGCCATCAGTCTGAATGGGCTGATTGCATTGTAACGAAACTCCCTGTAGAGGGCACCCACCCCCGCAGCAGCCTGAGTGGGTGTGAACGCTCAGGGAGCAGGGTCTTCACTCTGCACAGGAGACAGACTGAGGTCCCCAGCTGGGGAAGGTGATGCCAAGATTTAGGGCCAGTGTGCACCCTCCCACGGCTGAGAGGGGTGGTTCATGGTTCACAGAGAAGGCTTCCGGGATGGTCGGCCAGTGAGGACCGGTGAGTCAGGTGGCTGGCTGTCGGGAAAAACATTTCGGCGGAGCCTGCTGGTTGCTCCACTGGGCAGTCAGATGCTGAGATTGTCAGCTAGAAGCCATCCATGTCTTCTGGACCATCAACGAGACATCCAGAGAGGGTCAGTTAGGTGTGCTATCTGCCAGGGGCCAACGGGCAGCCTGCTCTGCCTTTAGCTAGGGACGTTTGGATGCTCAGAGACAAACAGACAGCCTGTGGCCTGGGAGAGTCAGCCTGAGCCAGAGGCAGGGTCACTTGGAGCCTCGTGTCACCAGCGGGGCTGGAGGGGGGCTGGCGTGTCAGAAAGCGAGCTGGGTGGCTGTAGACAGTGTCAGGCAGTCAGTCTGACCGACACGCGGGGGGCCACTTGTGGGCTCCACCAGACCATCGAAGTCTAGCAGGAAGCTCAGGTGGCTGGCGGGCTGGTGGTCTGAGCAGTGCCACGCACCCGGGCGGTCCCTCATTTGGGCAGTCCAATCGTCAGGACGGCGAGCCGTTGGGACTGAGGACTGTGCGGGTGGCATTGCACGGCCACACGGAGTCTGCCTGTCTGGAGACCTCTAGATGCTCGGTGCCCAGAGACAGCCAAGCCCTCGGGACATCCAGCCTCGCCATCCTCCCCCTCAAACGGCCCAATGGCGGCCTCCCAGCTGGCAGCACTGGAAGGGACGGAGCCAGGGCCCGGGGGACGGCCCCCGACTGAGGCCAGCCCCGGCCTCCTGTACTCCGAGGGCCAGCGACTAGCGCTGGAGGCTCTGCTGGGCGAGGGAGCGGAGGCATTCGAGGCCTGCGTGCGGCGCGAGGGCCTCCGGCCCTTCCTGGGCAGAGAGGAGCTCCGGGGCCTGGTGGCAGCAGCTGAGGACTGGACAGCCGCGAAGCCTGAGCCCGGCAGGGCAGGAGAGGGAGCCAACGCCGCCCACAGGGTCTCGGGCAGCCTGACCTACTGGCCGGGACAGTCAGAGGAGGCTGCGCCTGTGCTGCGCCTGGGCTGGCCGGAGGACTCAGCCTGGAAAGGGATCACCCGGGCCCAGCTGTACACCCAGCCGCCTGGTGAGGGCCAGCCGTCCCTCAAGGAGCTGGTGCACCAGGAGATTCGGGCCGCCCACAAGGTGGGAGCCTCAGGGGGTCCCTTGCCCACACTCGGCCACCCTCACGTGTCGGCCCCTAGACGTGGGTGTGAGGGCACATCCCTTGGGACCCCGGCATTCTGGACCATGCGTGTCCACACTTGCCAGGATCCAGGCATCCACCCGGCCCTGAGTTCACCCTCACCCTCTTAGATCCGAGGGTTCCCACTCTTTCCCCAAGACCTGGGTGCCTCAGGCATCCATGCCTCTTGGACCTAAGTATGACTGCACATCTCAGTCACCTACTCCACCCCACGCCCACCTCCAGGGTGGATGTCTGTGCTTAGTCGCTCAGTCATGTCCGACTCTTTGTGACCCCATGGACTGTAGCCCGCCAGGCTCCTCTGTCTTTGGGGATTCTTGTCCAGGCAAAAATACTGGAGTGGCTTGCCACTTATTCCTCTAGGGGATCTTCCCAACCCAAGGATTGAACCCAGACCTCCCACACCGCAGGTGGATTCTTTACCCTCTGAGCCGCCCGGGAAGCCCCTATCCTCCTTTAGGGGGCCCCAAATGAATCTGAGCAAGCTCCAGGAGTTGGTGATGGACAGAGAAGCCTGGCGTGCTGTAGACCACGGGGTTGCTAAGAGTCAGATACGCCTGAGCAACTGAACTGAAAATGTCTGCCCTGCAGCCCCTTGGACGGCCCATTCTTTAACAACACTTTTTATGTCTCTACTCCCACGCTAAGTGTTTTTCTATGGGTTAACCCACCTAATCCCAAGGAGGGTCCTGTGAGGTTGAGGCCTTAATCCCCATTGAGGAGATGGGGAGAGTGAGGCACGGCAGGTTGTCCCTTGCCTTTTAAGTGGCCGAGTGGGGCTTTGAACCAAGGCCCTCTGGCCAGTGACTCAGGGTTCAACACCACCACCTTTTCCTGCCTGCCAGCTCCAGGCTCCTCAGCATCTCCCCGTCCCCAGAGCTCGCCTTGGTGGCCTGGCAGGTTATCCCACCCAAGGACCAGGTGTGCGGCTGCCCCCAGTGAAGGGGCTCCAGCCCACTGAGCCCTGGAGCCTGGCAGCCATGTAGCATCAAAGCCCATGGGGCACTGCTGCAGACGTGTGATCTATGATGACAGTTTTCCAGCACTTAGAGGTGGGAGGCCTCCAGAAAGGCTGTTTGCTTCTCATTCACACATCGTTGTGGTTCAGTTGCTCGGTCGTGTCTGACTCTGCGACCCCAAGGACTGCGGCACGCCAGGCTCCTCTGTCCTCCACTATCTCCTGGGGTTTGCTCAGACTCATGTCCCTTGAGTCAGTTCACACATAGGCACTGAATGAACAGTAGTATGTGTCTCGGGGTCTCCCCCTCAGCTTCCCTGAACGTCCCACGGAGTCTGGACCCTTAAACGCCCCAGAGGACCTCACCCGCGGAATGTGCCCCCAAGCCCCAGGCTCCACCCACAGCCCCTCTCCCCACCCCTCAGCTGGTGGCCGTGGTCATGGACATCTTCACCGACCCAGACCTGCTTTTGGACCTGGTGGAGGCTGCCACGCGCCGCTGGGTGCCCGTCTACCTGCTCCTGGACCGTCAGCAGCTGCCTGCCTTTCTGACGCTGGCCCAGCAGCTGGGGGTCAACCCCTGGTCCACTGAGGTAGGGGCCGGGTGGCTGGAGGGTGAGACCCCAATCCCCTGGCACTGGGGGGGAAGCGGGGTTGGGCAGACACTTCCAGGGAGTCCTGGGTCATCAAGGTGGATGCTGGCTGAGAGGGTCCCCTGAGGTCTGATGCCCATGGTGTCGCGGTGGGGCTGCTGGAGTGAGCCTTCCCATGGACTCTCCGCAGGAGATCCCTGGGGAGGCTGGGACAGACCCTGCCATGGGCCACCCAGGTAGGAGCAGCCTGGAGGGAGGGCACCGGGTGGAGGTCAGGGGGGAGGGGAGGGTCGGCCTGAGCAAGGGCGTGCCCTCCTGCCGCAGAACCTAGACATCCGAGTCGTGCGGGGCTGCAGTTTCCAGAGCCGCTGGCGTCGGCAGGTGAGCGGCAACGTGCGGGAAAAGTTCGTGCTGCTGGATGGCGAGCGGGTCATCTCAGGATCCTACAGGTGCGGTGCCCCCGACCCCACACTGCCCGGCCTCCGGTCCCCAGCTGCCCCTCAGCCAGCAGTGGGGCATGCCCTTCCCCCAGACTCTCTTTTCTCCCGGGTAAGATGGGTCTGTACCCACCCCTGCCCGGGAGAGGAGGGGTCCTGTGGCAGAACAGGCTGGCATTGAACCTCCCACCAGGCAGGGTTGTGGCCTGGGGGTAAGTCTTCATCTCTTTGGCCCCTGCACTTCATCATCTGGGAAACTGCTCTCCCAGTGTGTGGGAGCTCCCATGCCAGGGGGACCCAGACTGGAGTCCAAGCTCTGCTTTGGGTGGCTGTCTCCACCTCTTTGAGTGTCTGTTTCCCAGGTGGCGCAGTAGTAATGAACCTGCCCGCCCATGCAGGAGTCATAAGAGATGTGGGTTCCATCCCTGGGTCGGGGTGATCCCCAGGAGGAGGGCATGGCAACCCACTCCAGTGTTCTCGTCTGGAGAATCCCATGGATAGAGGAACCTGGCGGGCTACACTCCATAGGGTCATACAGAGTTGGACATGACTGAAGCTACTTAGCACGCACGCAAGGACGCCAAAGTCAGAGCTGGTGTACAAATGGCCCGGTCCTCAGAGNAGAGGAACCTGGCGGGCTACACTCCATAGGGTCATACAGAGTTGGACATGACTGAAGCTACTTAGCACGCACGCAAGGACGCCAAAGTCAGAGCTGGTGTACAAATGGCCCGGTCCTCAGAGCATTCTCCTGTCCCTCTTCTCTCCCCGGGGCCCGACTGACCCTGGAACCTGGCTCCGTGACTTCTTAGCTCTGGGACACTGGGCTGGCACCTCCCCTTACTCTGAACCTCAGTTTTCCCATCTGCAAAGTGTGGAAATAGCAACGTTTACTTCCTGGGAACAGCATGGCGCAGGGCACGGGGACTCCGAGCCAGATGGCCTGGGGTCAAACCCTAGCTGGAAGTTACTGGCTGCATGACTTTGTGCAACTGACTCCCCCTCTCTGTGCCCCAGTTTCTCCCTCTAGACAATGGGATGGTCCGATTAGCGTGTCTAGAGCAAGGTTTCTCAAGACAGGTACTGCTCGTGTTTGGGGCTGGATGATTCTGTATTGCAGGGGAGCTTTCTAGGGCTGAATGGCCCCCTACCCAGGGGATATTGGTAGCATCCAGCTTCCCCAGTTATGACAACCCAAACCATCTCCAGACATTGCCAGGTGCCCCCCGCCAGGGGCAGAAGTGCCCAGTTGATTACCTTTGCCCTGGCCTGGTGGCTTTCAACTGTGAGCAGACCCCAGAGTCACCTGGGTGACTTGATAAATAAAACCCATATTTCTGGGCCCCACCCCTATTCAGCCAGCCTGGACTGGGGTCCGAGAATTGACATTTCTAGCAAGTTCCTGGTTAGTGCTGATGTTGCTGGTCCGGGGACCACCCTGTGAGAACTGCTAGCATCAAGACTGGGATGTTGGGTTGTTTTTTTTTTGGGGGGGCTGCGCATCGCAGCTGGCTGGATCCCAGCTCCTCAACCAGGGGGTTGAACCCGGGGACCCGGGCAGTGAAAGTGCAGAGTCCTAACCACAGGACCGCCAGGGAATTCCCAAGACTGGGAGGTTTTGGAAGATAATCTTTCTTCTCAGCTTCACTTGGGGATTCCGTAAGATAATCATACCTGGCACGGAACATAACATGTGCTGCATCAACGTCAGCTGTCATTTATTATTATTTGATTTTTTTGTTTTTGTTTTTTACCATATTTCATCGACTCTAAGGTGCCACCAAAGGAAAGAGACATCCTGATCCCAATCTGAAAAAATAACGCGTCTTAGAACCAATGAAATACAGTAGTGCAGTCCAACCCATCGGACATGGCTCCCCCATCACTAAATTGGAGGGCCTGGGGCTGCTTCCAGAGCACCGGGCTTCTCCGGTGGGCAGCCCTAGAATGGATGAGGCCAGGGCCACGAGAGGTTGTCCAGGGCCTCTGGCCATTTAATGGGGGAAGGGGATGGAGGTGGGGGGCAGGGGGAGCAACGCAGCCGGGAGACCAGCCCCGGGCCCTGCCCTCCAGGTTGGTCACGGCGCGTGTCGGAGCAGCAGCAGCACACCCAGTACCAGGCTGGCAGCGGCCCCCGCCAAGCGGCCGGACGCGGGGTCAGGGGCCCCGTTACACATGTGGCCAGTGCAGCAGTTGGTGGTGAGGCTGTAGGTGACGCCCATGTAGTTGATGGGCTCCTCGTGGCCACACGAGGTGGCATGCATGCAGCCTTTATTGATGATGGGGCCGACGCCGGGGGCCACCCCGTGGCCTGTGAAGCAGTCCTCGTCGTCGCCACAGCGCATGCTGGTGCCGGGACAGCTCGTAGAGTCGGTCAGCTCACAGAAGACACAGTCCTTGACGCCCGCTGCGCCGGGGGCCAGAACCATCACCAGAAGCAGCAGCCAGCCGAGGACCATGGTGGCCTGGCGGCAGTGACGGTGCCCCAGCCAGGCCGTGGGCTTCCCGGGCCTCCCGGAACTGCTGAACGACACGCCTCGTGCCCTTGGGACTTCTGATCTCCCAGGCCCAGCAACCGGCGTGTCCTCAGTTCCCGACGCTCAGCGTCCTTCTCCGAAGCTCCGTTGTGACCACTGCTCTTGAATCCTCGGGTCTCAGAAACTCCCCCCGGGGACGGAGATGAGCCAGCGACCGCTGCCCGACAGGAGTCTCTGTGGAGCGGAATGGGGGTGACTTCACAGATGCGCCCCCCTCCCCAGGGTTCCCACTGGCCGCTCCGGGGCTGAGGTCATAGGTGGGGGAGGGGTGTCAGAATCCAAGGGGGCAGGTTGGCCCGCCGACCTGCCAGGGAGCGAGGATGCTGACACCCCACGACGTAAGGATGCTTGGACCGGCGTTCGTCATCCCAGCCTCGAAGTGGTCCTCTCTGCCGGGTGCTGCTACGGTGCCCGCCGAGATGCAAGATGATGTGGACCAGTGCAAGCCTGGTTTTGCAATGGGCAAACCGAAGCTCAGGGAGGGAAAGTTCCCCTGAACCAGGAGGAGAGCCCAGGTTCATGTAATTCCAAAGAGAGCATTTACTGAGCACCTTCGGTGTACCAGCATGTGTGCTTGATTCTCTAAATCACAACCAGTGTGATCACAGGGATAGTGAGGGCACAGCTCACCATGGCTTGCAGACTTTAATTTTTTTTAACTCTTCTAAAGTATTTATTTACTTACTTTAATTGAAATATAATTGGGGGATATATATATATATTTTGGCCATGCCATGCAGTATGTGGGATCTAGTTCCCTGACCACTTATTGAACCCAGGTCCTGTGCATTGGAAGTTCAGAATTTCTGTTTCTTTTTAATTTCAGTATTAGGCTGCACTGGGTCTTAGTTGCATGCAGTATCTTTTACAGCATGTGGGATCTAGTTCGAACCCAGGTCCCCTGCGCTGGGAGTGCAGAGTCTTAGCCACTAGACCACTGGGGAAGTCTCGACTCCCAGACTTATAATGCTGGGCCCTGGGCAGGGGGCCTGACACATATTTTCTGATTCTAATCTTCCTGTGTTTTAGTTCCATGTGACAGATCAGCAAACAGAGGCAGGGAGCAGGTACACCCAGAGCCTGGTACACAGCAAGCAGTTAATAAGTGGCAGTCATAATAGGAAGCAATTGAGCCTTCAAAGTGTCCCAGAGGGTGTCAGAATACCGTCTCTTTCCAGAGGCAGAAACTGAGGCATCCCTCTGTGGGAACGGGGCAGAGCCCAGGTTTAAACTCCAGTCTGATTCCAGGTGATCATTTAAGTATGTTAGCTCATGCCTTCCCATCAACCCTCTGGGGTGGATACCTGGTTGCCCCCACTCTACAGAGGGGCATGTTGAGGCCAGAGGGATTGCAGGACTTGGTTGAGGTCACACAGCCTTTCCATGAGACCAGGTTGGGGGCAGGTGATGGGAGCCAGGCCAGGCTTCTGAGGCTGCCTGGAGATCCTGACCTCCCCTCCACCCTCTGTGCCCCCCAGCTTCACGTGGAGTGACTCCCGCCTGCACCGTGGCCTGGTGACCCTGCTGACCGGTGAAATCGCCGATGCCTTCAGCCGAGAGTTCCGGACGCTGTATGCAGCCTCCTGGCCGCTCCCGCCCGCGCCCACCCTGGGTCACTTTGTTAGATCCTTGGGGAGGCTGCAGCTGGCTCACAGCCCACACCGCGTGGCCCATCGCTGCTCCGTGGCCCCCCTGTCACCGCCACCACCGCCCGATGGCTCACTGACCCAACGCCTGTCCGCCTGCCAAGTCTTTGAGGGGGACAGGCAGGAGACCCCGGCCGCGCCAGGGCCGGCTCTGAGCGACATCCTGAGGAGCGTGCAGCGCACCCGGATCCCCAGCTGCCCCCCAACCCGGCCCAGCCGCTCCCTCTGGGACCTGAGTCGCCTGTCCCAGCTGTCGGGCTCTAGTGATGGAGAAAACGAGGTGAGACTGGGTGGCGGGCCTAGAAGAGGATGGAGGCCTGTGAGGGCCCCTGCGAGGTGCCTGGTCCGGGGGGCGGGGGAAGCAAAACGGCTCCCCTGCCTTCCTAATGGCATGGTCCACTTCTGGTATCCCTACTGTGTGCTGGGCAGAGACCCCGAGAGCCTCCTTCTCGGACCCTCGGGGCTCTCATCAGGGACATGGGCTGAGCTACTGTCCCCTTCCTCAGTTTGCTTGGGAGGAGGAGTCAGTATGGTGGAATGAAATAGAATAATCACCATTGTTACAATAAAGTCCCCAGATGGAATTTATTTTGATTTCCTGACCTCCTCCTCCCATGGCAGTGAGGCGATACTCCTGTTAATGCTCAGTTGTATGGATGGAAAAGCTGAGGCACAGAGGGGTTGAGTTTCACTTGCCCAAGGTCAAAGCAACGATCTTTTCTCAGGCACCTTGCCATGTGCCAGGCCCCATGCCAAGCACTTTCTCAGAGTTGATTAAATGTAACCTCTGCCACAAACCATTTGAATCTGCCTGCAATGCAGGAGACCCGGGTTCCATCCCTGGATTGGAAAGATCCCCTGGAGAAGGGCATGGCAACACTCCAGTATTCTTGCCTGGAGAATTCCACGGACAGAGGAGCCTGGAGGGCTACAGTCCGCGGGGTCGCAAAGAGTCGGACATGACTGAGCGACTAGTACTTTCGCTTTCACCTTGAACTGCCACAACCATTGAGGTGGATGTGATTACAGCTCTCCACGCACCCATTGCACAGGTGGGGAAACCAAGGCACCAGGGAGGAACTGGATCTCAGCCCTGGTTGCTTCCCAGGTGGAACATTTAAATGCTCTCTGCTAACTGGCTTTCTAGATTCGAGTGTGCTGGGTGTGTTGGGGAGGGGGCTAGAGGAGGTCAGGGGGGTCTCCCCTCCTTACTCCCAGCTGCTTAGACACTTGGCAGAGCCTGCCCCTGTTCTCTGGGGAAACCCTGGATGGTGCCTCAGTGTCCTCAGCTATGACGTGGGCTGCAAGCAGGAGCCACGTGGCAGAAACCAGTGGTTTCTCCCCAGATGCAGGCAGACCTGTGCCCCCTCTGGGCCTCAGTTTCCCCATATGCTAAGTGGGAGCTTGAGGCCTCTCCGGAGAGAAACGAATGTCCCTGGAATCACCTCCCTCGGTCCCGGTCCCGATCAAGAGAAGAGGGGATGGGCAGGGGCAAGGTCCTCGTCTCTGCCCGGTCCTGAGCCGCCCTCACCTGGCATCACCTCCCTTGGCAAATATTTGCTTCCCCCACACAGCTGCCTGCTGCTTCCTGTTCCTCTCCTCACTGCAAAGCTGCACATGGGGACGCAACTCCGCACCCCCCTCTGTAGGTCTGGGGGTCCCCAGCCTCCCCATTCACTTCCCTCCTGGTTCTGGAGACACAAAGGCCTTCTCACCTCCCCTCGGAGTTTCACACCCCCCATCCCTCCACTCTCATCTCCCTGCAGCCCACCTCCCCCTTCCTCCCCTCCATCCTCTCCCCGCCACCACCGCATGCTCTCTCTCTCCCCAGGCTCTGGGACCCCCAAGAACCACCTCTCACCTCCCTGTCTTTCCCTCCACAGCTCAAGAAGTCCTGGGGCTCCAAGGACACACCAGCCAAGGCCCTGATGAGGCAACGGGGTGCTGGAGGGGCCCCTGGCGGGGAGGCAGACGCCAATCCGCTGGCCTGGTCCCAGCCCCGGGGCGGCCCCCTGCCCCTCACCCCCGGCCGCCGCCTCCGCTATCTGTCCCCGACCCGGAGGAGGTTTGCTGAAGATGCTGCCTCCAAACTGTCGGAACCCAGAGGCATCCGGCAGCCAGACGGGGCCACCCAGCCAGGACTCAGGGGGCAGCCCTGACCGGAGCCAAAGCCAAATGGCCCTGGCCCTGACCCAGGACGGTCAGACAACGGTCACTTAGAGCCCCCCGCCTCACTGTTGTACCTGGGATAAAGCTTGTGGCCTTGGTGTCTGGGAGGTGCCAAGGATTTCCTCCCCATTTGTTCTAGATTGCAGGCAAGCCCAGTGCCCGCTCTGGACCTCAGTGTCACAGCCTAGAAAATGGGCAAGAGGCCTCCACTAGCCGGGGTCCTAACAGCACACCTCCTGTTCCCGCCGGGCCAGAACTTCTCTGAGGAGACGCCTGGCTGAGTGGTCCCCATGTTGGGATTGTGCGGGGGTGAAGATGGGGAGTCTCGGGACTGAGGGGAGGCTTCCTGAACCCGCCGCGCTCAGGAGCTGTGGGGAAAACCGCGCTTGGCCTCGGAGAGGAGAGGAGCGTCCAGGGGGAGCCGAGCTGAATCCCGAGGGGCTGGAAATGTCTGAAGACACACCTGCTGGGGAACACTTTACCTCTGCTCAGAATAAAGCTGCTTTATGCCAGAAACGTGCGTTTCCGCAGCTTCGCGGGAGGAGTTCAGACCTGGCTCCTTCCTCCCTCAGACCCGGGAGTCCTGGCCCCCATCACCCTCCCTCCCCAGGATCCCGGGGTCGGGGTCGCAGCACCCCGGCCAGGAGGGAGTCAGGTGCCCAGCGCTGGCCTCCCTGCCTCCCTCTCTGCCTCTGGGAGAGGCTTCTAGAGCCCCGACCCCACAGGGGGACCCCTCCCTCCCCTAGGCCCTGGGCGAGCCCTGGGGCCCCCACCCCAGCCTCCGAGGCTCTCGACGGCGCGCCGCCCCGCCCGCCGGCGGCACATCCCCTCCGCGGCGCATCCAGTAGCCCGCACAGGAGAGACACGCTTTTATTCTTAGGGTCACGAGTGGGGTGCCTCGGAGGCCTCATCTGGGTTGGGGCTCGGGTCGGGGTCCGGACTGGCGTCCTCGGGGTCCACGTCCCAGGGGAAGGTCGGCAGCCCCCGCATCTGCTCGCGGTAGAGGCCGTCGAAGGCTTCACTCTGCGCCACGGTGAAGTGGTTCTTCCAGTCACCGCAGACCCCTGGAGGGGAGGGGAGGGAAGGCGGAGCTGAGGCGCATCCAGAGCGTCGTCCCCGCCCCCAAGACGCCAGCACCCTCTTTCCCACCTCCTGGCCTTTGCTAGAAGCACTGTCCTTCCCCCCACCCCCCATATCTGCATTTTGCTGATGGCTGACACGTTGTCACTGGCCACCAGTCGCCTGGCCAGACCCCTGGGCACCATTCTTGCTCCTCCCCGTCGGGCCCCCTTTGCCGTGCTCACCTCTCCAGCAGACCTCTCCCCTTCCCCCACCAAGCTCATAAATCTCTACCCAGAGCATCCGCCTCCGCATCTAGCATCCTGCCCCGGCTTTGTATCACCTCCTCTTCCACCTGTCCTTCCCTCCCTGGCTAGAACAGGGCTTCCTCGCTCCAGTGCGCCTACCGCGGCGTCCGCTGCCTCCAGTACTGCTCTGACACTGGGAGCCAGTGCCTTCCCTGCGCTTCTGGGCACCACGGATCGCGCTGACGCTTTGCCTCCCACTGCCACTGAGCAGGTGAGGGTGTGACTGCCAGCTCGATGTGCCCCTAGGCAAACACTTGGATCCCTCAAGTTGCTTTTTTTTAAAATTTATCTTAAAAAAATTATTTAATTATTTTTACTTTTTTTTTTTGGTTTGGCCATACTGTGCAGAATATGAGATCTTAGTTCCCAGGCCAGGGGTTGAACCTGCACTCCCTGCAGCGGAAGTGCAGAATCTTAACCACTGGACCAGAAGGGAAATGCGCCCTCAAATTTCTCATCTCATGGGATAACCAGGGGCACCAGCTGTTACCTGGAATCCTGGGGCCAAAGTCATTTGGGTCACAGTGTTTTGAATTTTCGCGAATGCATACACCACATGTTACATGACACCCTTAGTGAGGTTTTGGGGGGGAGCTCCCTGTGATGGGCTGACCTCCCTGTGATGGGCTGACTAGTGGCACCCCCACCAAGATGTCTGTGACCTGACCCTTAGAACCTATGTACATGTGACTTGACATGGCAAAAGTGACTTTACAGATGTGATTAAGTTAAAGATGTTAACATTCAGTGGCAAACATTCTTATAAGAGGGGCTTCCCAGGTGGCCCTAGCAGTAAAGAACCCATTTGCCAATGCAGGAGGTGTAAGAGACGCGGGTTCAGTCCCTGGGTTGGGAAGATCCCCTGGTCCAGCATTGTTGCCTGGAGACTCCCAAGGACAGAGGAGCCTAGCCGGCTACAGTCCACGGAATTGCAGACTCATCACGACTGTAGCAACTTAGCACACACTCACTCATCATTATAAGAGGGTGCGGGAGGGTCAGAGTCAGAGAGTAGAAGATGCTTTGAAGATGGAGGAAGGGACCATGAGCCAGGGAATGCAGGCGGGTCTGGAAGCTGTGAAGGCAGGGAACTCATTCTCCCCTAGAGCCTCCATAAAGAACATGGTTCTGACACTTTAATTTTAGCTCCGTGAGGCTGATTTTGGACTTCTGATATCCAGAACAAAAAGGCAATGAATGTGTGTGTGTGTGTTTTCTTTTATTATTATTATTATTATTATTATTATTTTGGCTGCACTGCACTATTTGGAAGACAGTTTCCCCACTCTTGGGCTACGGGGTGCAAAGTGCTGAGTCCTAACCACTGGACCACCAGGAATTTCCCTGAATGTGTGCTGTTTTAAGCCCCTATATGTGTGGTATTTGGTTCCAACAGGAATAGGAAACTAATACACTCCCACCCTCAGCGTGGCATCCAACACTTGACTATTTCTGGGGTGAACGTTAACCCTTAAGAAGGGTTCACGGAGAAGACTCCAGCCTCTGAGCGTTCAGAGCCACTCTGGCAATGCCTTCCAGTGTTTAGCATCAGTTGTATGCCAAGCTCCGTGCTAACAGACCCAGAGAGGTTAAGTAACTCGCCCATGACACACAGCCAGGCAGTGGCCTCATGGGGCTTGGAACCCCAGAGTCCCCTCACCTTTCCGGAGGAAGGCACCATGGCGCTGGTCCAGCAGGCTGTGGGGCAGCAGGGAGAAGTTGGACATGGTGTTGGCCTTCATGGCGTTGAAGGCCGAGTGTGCCACGACGGACTCCAGCGCCTCCTCGCCCAGCGGCCGGCCCAGGAACTGGCAGATGCACTTTACGGAGCTACGGAGATCCTGGGGGGCAGAGGAGGCGTCAGCGGACGTACCCAGAATCTGGATGCCTGAGTCCCCTCCCAGACCTGGAATCTGGCAGGGGTGGGGGGGGGGCGGCTAGCGGAATTCTGCCTCTTTGCCTCAGCTTCCCCACCTCCAGGTGGAGGGGTTGGGCTGTGGCTCCTGGGGTTTCCTGCGGTGTGAGCTCTTGGAGGGTTCTGTGGGGGGAGGGGAAGGATGGGGCTGGGTTGGAGATCACAGCGGGAGGCAGGGGTCGGTCCAGCATCTCTTGCAGAGTCAACTCTCCTTCAGATTCAGAATTGGTCTGTGCCCAACCCCGCCCCGCTACAGGTCCCAGGAGAGCCCCACCATTCACCCAGGGTCAAACTCCTGGCCGGTCCTCACCTCCCCTTCCTCCCTACCTGCTCCCCCGCTTGCCCCCATCAGTCATCAGCCCCTGACCCTCCTGCTTCAGCTCTCTGCCACCTCCCCTCCTGTGTGTCCCCACAGCCCCTAGCCCTGGCCCGGCTTCATTCTGTCCCTGAGAACCCTCACCCCAGCCTCCACCCTGGCCTTTTCCCCAGCCTCCTTGCCTCCAGTTTCCCACACCCAGAGCTGACCCAGTTCCTCCCCTCCTCCCAGACCTCCTGTGACTCCCCAGCACCCCAATCCCCAGGCCTGGCTTTTTTTTTTTTTTTTAATATTTATTTATTTAGCTGCACCAGGTCTTAGTTGGGGCAAGTGGGATCTAGTTCCCTGACCAGGGATTGAACTCAGGCCCCCTGCATTGGGAGCATGGAGTCTTAGCCACTGGACCATCAGGGACGTCCCCCTCCAGGTCTGGCTTTCAGGTCAGGCGTGGTCTGGTCTTTCATCTCCTTCCCAGCACAGTCTTCCCTGTGGGCTTTGGCATGGGCTGTCACAAATGCCCTGCGCCACCCTTCTCTGCCTGGAAAACTTACCCCTCCAGATGCCACCCAAACATCACCTCCCACATGACTGATGGTTCAAATCACTGTGGATTAAGCACCTACTGTGTACCCATCTCTGGTCCAAGACTCTCAGGTATATTTGTCCCAGTCCTCCAAATAGCTTGGCAGAGAGGTGTCATTACCCCCATTGGTAAATGGAGGCTCAGAGAGGGAAAGAGACTTGTCTAGGGTCACACAGCCAACAAGGAGGTCAGAGCTGAGTCCCCAAAGTTCATGACCCTCCCGTCTATCTCCCTGCCTTCCCTGACACACAGCGCCTGGCATAAGCAGCCTTGTGGTCAGCTCCACCGACCCCACGGCCCTGATTTTCCAGGTCATTCTTGGTTTCATAAGCTTTTATCCTCTTGAACCGCTGATGTGTCCCAGAAATTCTAACATGTTGGCTGTTCCTCACACCCAGGGGCAGCCCAGAAGCTCTGTCAGGCCATGTGGCCCAGTTTTTGGATCAGAGAACAAAGCCGGATGGAAAAGACAGGGGAGGAGTGATGCCGAAGTCTTTTCTGGATCTTTCTATCGAAAGAGATTTACCAGAGTGGAAAATAAAATAAAATAAACCCATTGGATTCAGTGAAGAGCTGTGTGCCTCGGGCAAGTTCTCAGCTCTCTTGAGGCTATACTGCCTCAGTTTGCTCCTCCGTAAAATGGGGGCAATAATCATATTGGGGTCAGCCATTTAAATATACCATCTTCTGGACTTCCCTGGTGGCACAGTGGTTAAGAATCCACCTGCCAGTGCAGAGGACATGGATTCGATCCCCGATCTGGGAAGATTCCACATGCCTTGGAGCGCCTACAGAGTCCACGTGCCACAACCACTGAAGCTTGGGTTCCTAGAGCCTGCGCTCTGCAACAAGAGAAGCCCGTGCTCTGCAACGAAGCAGAGCCCCCACTCGCCACCAGTTGAGAAAGGTCACACACAGCAACAAGGGCCCGGAGCAACCAAAATAGAAAATAAAATAAATATACCATTTCCTGCAATTTAAGAGGCTGAAACCTCTGCTGATATGGTTTGATTAGCCAGACAGGCCCTTGCTCAGAACCCAATCACTCTTACCTTGCACACTATACTAACACTTTGCTGGTCCTTGTCAGATGGTTACAAGACGCCAATGCCAGGGATGCGGTTCTCACAGCAACCCTTGAGCCAGCATTTTCCACCCATTTTTAAAAAGATGAGACCTCTGAGGTTCTGAGGGATTTTAAAGAGGCTTTCAACAGCTTTTTGAACACCGAAATCCAGGCTCTTTCTGCCGTACAGTGTCGACAGAAACCAGGACACAAAAAACATATGAAACACACACATGGGATAAGAATGTGTCTGGGGCCATGGGTG